GCTGGTTTGGCTCAGTGGTTAGAGCGTCGGCCTGTGGTCCAGAGAGACCCGGGTTCAGTTCCTGCTAAGGGTGCGTACCTCAGTTGCAGTTTGTCCCTGGCCCTGGTTGGTCGTGCAGGTGGCAGCCTCTTGATGTGTCCCTTTCACATCGATGTTTCTCTCTCTCTCCTTTGCACTCTGTCTGAACAAAAAATGGAAAAATGTCCTCGGGTGAGGATTAAAAAAAAAAAAAAAAAGCAATGTTAAAATATGGGGTCATATTCCTGTACTAGAATTCAGCATTCAAAGAAATCACTGGTCTAACCATCAATATGTCATAAATGTAAAAAAAAAACAAAAAAAACTCAAACCAAAACAAAAAACAAATTAAAACCTATCCTAAAACTCTATTCTAATTTAAAATACTATTTCTAGCTCTATTAAACGGGCATAAATATATGGCACACATTAATTGCAAAAGACATTTCATGTACAATTAAGTGCACGTATAGTAAAAAAATGTAATAGGGGACCTAAAACTAAAGTACTTACTATATTTAACATTAAGTAATCTTAGCATCTTAGAATTTAGGATGTTGCTAAGGAAATAGATGGCACAAGATTCTTTAAAAAGCCATCCAGATATTTATAAACGTTCTTTTTGATAAATTTTTCTAAAACAAGCAGAAGCTTTTAGCCACCTCATTAATTCTAGAGGTATTACTTCACAGAAAACATTTTAAAAAGAATTGACATATAAACCCTCTATCTTTCCTTCTCAATTTACTGAAAGCTAAAATTGTAAGGGCTGCATCAGACAAAAAGTCATTCTGCCTAGCGTTTATTGATCTTGCTCTTATTAGAATATCTTCTCTCTCATGAGCAAACTATAGAAGGAGCTAGCTACCTGGTCCCTGGCACAAACTTTTTTAAAAAGCTTAAGAACACTTTGCCTTTGAGTTCTGAGTTGGCCAAAAGAAATGAGGATAACTGATATTGGTTACCTACAGAGCAGAAAGCACTATATAAAGTCAATCTGAGAAGCTATCCTTAAAGGTGCTTTTTCTATAAAGAAATCTGACTCAGCTAGATGAAATACAGTGATACCTCGGTTCTCGAACATAATTCGTTCCAGGAGGATGGTCGAGAACCGAAGCAATGAAACCCAATAGGAAAGCGTGACTCCACAAAGCGTGACTCTCTCTCTGCACTCACACTGATGACGCAAGCAAGGCGCGCTGGGCCGAATGAACGCCATTCGGCTCAACTCGGCTCATCTCGGAAGTTCGAGTTCCAAATATTTGTTCGGATTCCGAGACAAAAGTTTCTCGAATCTCCTGGTCGAATACCGATTTGGTCGAAAACCGAGGCGTTCGAGAACTGAGGTATCACTGTAAATCACACAACTGTTTTCCTCTCACTTCTCCAAAGTGGTTTTCTCGACTTGGTTTCATGTATGAGTGTTTGGCAAATGGTGTTTAGTTATCTGGAGGCTTGAGGGACAGCCTGTTTTCTAACACGAGCTAATTAAAGAAAACTCTAATTAAGGGAAACTGGTTACACAAATATCTAGCAATTCGGCTGGAAAAAAAAGCACCTGATCCTTCACACTAACATATCATGATGGATATTTCACAGTAGCAATGAGATCCCAAAGCCTTCCTAACCAGTTTTATGCAGCACCTAAGAATACTTCTTCAGTCCTTATTGAATCAGTGGTAGTTTAGATATTACTGTGGATTGATTCAGTGGCTGGGGCAAAAGTTCGTCTGTTCTTTGGAGCACCCTGTTGTCCTTGCCTCTCTGGGAATAAGCACTTTATAGACTATTGTTCCTGCTGCAGCTGCTGCTTCTGAATTTTTAATCAGCTTTGGGTGGTCTTTTCCTCCCAGTACTGCTAGGACTGCTGCACAAACTCTCTGGAGCCAGGACAACTCAGAAGCATGCCTCTCTGCTGCCACCTCCAACACCTGGGCCTTCCTTTTTAGCTCCTTTCTCTGTCCCAACATGTTCTTGCTTCTCAGTCAGTTGCTTCTCCAGTAATTCTTTTTCCTGGAGGAACCAGGCATGGACCTTTGCAACTGTCTCAACTCAGGCTTTCTTTAGCTCCTACTTTAATGTCTGCAATTCTCTGTACTGTATGTTTACCAGTAAAATGTCCCCTCACTGCCTCCAACTGCTGCTTCAAATTGGATTCTAGCTTTTCCTTTGCCCTGAGCTGTGTTGTTTTAAGCTCTGAAGTTTATTTAACATGTTGGGAGACTAATTCTTGTTTTGTTTATAGATCTCACCACTTTTTTGTGTGTAGTTGTTCCACTGACTTTCAATTTCCCTTCTATATGTATTAGTTTTATTGGTCAGGTTTGCCAGCATGAATTTAGTCTTAGCCTGGACAGGTAACTATTCATTAAGTAACAGCCTGGTTTCTACCACTCTTTACTGGATTTGAGTTTATTTGCTGGTTGAGCTTCATCACTTCCACTGTCTTTTCTATAAAGGCTTCAAAAAATTACTTATTAAATAAAAATACAATGTAGGGGAATACTGGAATCCTACTTTGTGGCAAGTATTCCTGGTTCCTGGAACCTGAGGTCAGCCTGAGCCTCCAACATCCAGAACCCTGTGGCTCCCAGATCACCTGTGTACTGGCCAGGTGGCCTTGAGAGGCATTGCGGTCCTGGATGGCACTCTGGGCCTCAGTGGCACCATGGTCCTGGACTGCACAGCACTGGCACTCTGGTCCAGGGACTTTGTTTTCCTCTTTGTGAGTGCTGAAAATGAACTGCATATCTTTTCCCTGCTGCAGGAGCCCTGCCGAAGGGCTCTCGAGTTGCCAGGCTGTCCCAGGAATCAGGCCATTTTCCCAGGTCCATTTTCATTATTCTGAGCTCGTCTTCCTCTGGACACTGGCATTCTTGCTCCTTGCACTGACAGATCCCCACCACTGTCTGGGGTGGGCTCCCAGGTGGGCTTCTGAAGCAGGTCAGCACAGGAAGATACTCTGGCATCCCTTCACTCTTCCTTTTGCACCTGGTTAGAGCTGGTTGGAGCCTGTTCTACTCTCTCTCACAGCTTGCAATGTGGAACACAGAATGTAAGCATCTTCTCAGTCAAGTCTCCATGGTGACTGGGTGGAGGTGGGTAGAGCCAGCTGAGCTCATAAAGGGAACCTGGCACCAGTGTGTCTGTTGGTTTTAGAAACTTTTTTCTTGGGAAAAAAAAAAATTCTGAAGTTCCTGTGGTGGGCTTGTTTTGTGAGCAGCCATCTCCAGTGCTTCCCAGGCTCCTTCTCAACAGCAGTGCATTTATCTTATTCAGGAACAGGTCTCCTTATCATACCTAAGAACCTTTATTTTATTTTATATATACATAGATTTTTTTAGAGAGAAAGGAAGGGAGAAGGGGAGAGAAAGACACACATTAATGTGAGAAACATTGATTGGCTACCTCTAATATACACCCCAACTGGGGATCAAATCCACAACCTGGGTATGTACCCTGACCAGGAATTGAACCCATGACCCCTTGGTGTACAGGACGATGCTGCAGTCAATTGAGCCATATTGGCCAGGGCATACCTAAGAACCTTTAAAAAATTTTTTTTATTGATTTTTAGAGAGAGAGGAAGGGAGAGGGAGAGAGAGAGAAACATCAATGAGAGAGAAACATTGATCGGCTGCCTCCTGCATGCCCCCTTATGGGGGATCAAGCCCACAACCCTGGCATATGCACTGACCAGGAATCAAACCAGCGACCCCTTGGTGCATGGGTTGACACTCAACCACTGAGACACACTGGCCAGGCACACTTAAGAACCTTTTAAAAACTATGCCAGTATTCTAGTTCTACTCACATGAAATCAGTCATAAACTCTGGGAATGGCACCCAGCAATAACATCTTTAAAAAGTGTCAAGGATTTTGTTAGTGGTGGTGTTAGACCTTAGTTCTTGAATTCACCTAAGAAAGAATTTAGAGCCAAGAACCCTACAAGAACCCTAATGCAAGAAGTTTATTTAGAAAGTCATAGAGGTAGGAGAAGTGAACCAGCTGGGTTGTGTGGACTCAGGAAACAAGTTATTGCAGCAAAAGAAGGGCCTTTGGAGCTAGGAGAAAGAAAGCAAAGGATGTGCCTGAGAAAGAAGGCATGGGCTTACTCTAGGGAGCTGGGTCCCCTGCCTGAAGAGTTTTTGTCTGTTTTCTAAAGGCAGGAATTTCAGGGGAGGTCTCAGGAGGATCTCAATAGAGTGTGTGTCCTTTCAGGGTCTTGGTCTCTACTGATTGTTTGGCACTGGGGTAGGGGGTCATTGGTTATTGCATCTGGTCCTGAGGTCAGCCATGGTGTCACTTTGTCTGGTTTGCTGCTTTTCTGGGCCTGGAGCTGAAACACAACTGAGATGTAGATATTATCATCTTTAGTTTTGACCAAAACTCTGTTTCTGTGGCCAACAGACCTGAGGCTTTGTTTTTAAGGTTATTTATTGCAGATTAGAACCTCATTGTCCTGAGGGCTTAATGCTTAAGGGAGTGGTAGTTCAGGGTTTGTATGGGAGTCCTGGGAGGCTATTCTCCAGCTTCCTGTTCCTCCTCTGTGGGAGTCTAAACCGCATGACTAGCAATATGAAAGGTCATGCAATCTAAACCACATGGCTATTGACATGCTAGGGTAGGAAAGTTTACCAGAGGGATAAGGTCCTTACCTAAAATAGTTGTTTTTTCTAGTTTTGGCTTTGGTAAGCACCTGGGCCTTTCTGTCCTGGTGACATTTCATATTCTGCTTATGCCTGTCTAACTGCTTACTCTATCACTTTCGAATGTGCCACCAGGATAGAGGACCATTGTCATCAGGTCCAAATCAGATAGCTGACTGAAATAGCAGGGGGTATTCATTCATGTTTACTGTGTCTGTGCAGGTGTGTCATTGCTATTATCCTAATTGTTTGGGGAGACCCTGCCTTTAGTCTAATGATATAAATACCATGAGGAAGAATAATTGTCACCTCACATCCCCATATCCAGATGTTCCAGGAACAACTCAGGTGTGTTCGAAGTTTCTCTTGGTAAGCCCCTTTTATAGGGAAAGCCTATACTTAAGGGGAAGTAAGTTCTATACTTGAACTTTTCCTCCTTTAAGTAGATTTTGGAATTGATTCTACCCATAATCTTGAAATATGTGTTAGTTAACATTGCACCAAGATGTCTTGCTATTCCATTTAACCAGTCTTGTAGTTATATGCCTTACTATTTCAAACCCTAACAGCGAATCTATAAAGCAAAATCTGGTTTTGTGTATACAGAGACATAACTTTATCTTATCAGATCTCGTATTAACAAAATTCATAAAAGGTGTGAAGATAATTTCAGGAGTCTTTTGAAAATGGCTAGTATTTCATTTTACTATTTTTGCAAAATCATGTTTTTATTAAGTGGCATTTTTGAATTATCTCAGTAATTAATTAAAATTAAATCTTCATATGAAGAAGGTTTTGTAATAAAAGTGATTTTATTGGGAAATCTAGGTAATTTTAAAAAGGATTGTCTAAAGGTTGTTATAGCGTCCTCAGGGTTGCATACTAGTTGAAGTTCAGATGATACAAATAATATTTTGGAACATAAAGCAAAAAAGAAAGAAAAAGGAAAATATATGGTTAGAATGGTTAGAATGCTAGATAGTTTATGAAATCCAATGCTGATCTGAACAGCCCTTGACAGTTTGAGAACCAGTTTGGGAACTCTTAGCCTTAGCAGTGGTATGAATCTGTGAACTAGCTACAGCAGTGGGTCTTGATTCTGGCTGTATATAGAATCGCTGGGAACTTGTGCTACTACTAATGTCAGGGTTCTTTTCAGCGACCAAATAAAAATCTTGGCAATGGTACCTTGACACAAATATTTTAATAGCTTCTCAGGTAATCCTGATGTGTAGCCAACATTGAGAACCACTGGCCCCCAGTGCTGCCACCAAGATGTGTGACTGAAAAAGGCACCGTCATTGCCTTTAAGTAATTTTGGAATCTTGCAAGACTGGCCTTCTGAAATCTTTGAGGGCAAAAACTTTCCCTTACTCTTTTCTGTTCCCAGCATCTCTTCTAAATGCACAGTTAATATTTGCCAATCAGTTTAATTTATTTTAAAGCAATATTCCAGAATTCAAGCTGCTCTCTAGATCATAGTGACTTTATTACCCCAGATAAGCATAACTATTAAAGCATGAGCACAACTATTAAAACAAAGATTCACAAAAAAACCAAACAGGCTGTGTTTAGGATATTTGAAGCGGGGCAAGCAGGTCAAATGTAGTGGAGTGACTGGCTGGTGGAGTGAAAATATTCTTAAATTGGGAACAGTAGATGTTTGTTTGTCTAGACACTCCCCATGGGTTTGGACGAACCTGGGAGGATCTCTGCCTATCTTTCCTGTCTCTATAAATCAGGCAGCATAGGAACAAATACACGTTATTCTTATACCTTCAAATAAATTCTGCCTGTGCTACTCAAATGCAGGCTCAGTATACTCTCGAGTCAACCTCAATACTGTGGTGTAAGGAGAATTTATTCTCTAATTCTTACAGAAGATGCTGTGTAATTAACTTTACCTTTCCATCATTCATTGATGAAATGGTGATTGCAGATCAGGATACATGCACAGGTAGTGGGTTTAGTGTAATGTTACTTAAAGCTTTTTGCATTTGTAGGTTGGGGCTGGTCCTCACTATTTTCTTCACATTAACTGGTACCTGTCACATGCAGATATTTGACTTTTTGAAAAACTTAAATCAAAACATTAAATAAAGCGGCAGCTTAGACTTGCAAAATAGTTTGCTTTTAAGACTGAATTGATCCAAGAGGTTTTAAAGTGACTATACTTTTCAATTACTTTTTTGAGGAAAAGAAAATGGGTACTGATTCCAAATAGGGGAGTTGTAAATACTGTGTTTTTAGTTGCAACAACAGATATTTATGGACTTCTGTTTTTTATTGACTCTATGTATTGTACTTTATTCATAATATGGAAGAAGATTGGTGTTTTTTCTTACTCAGCATTATTTAAATATTTTTCAATAAAATCCCAACATTACATTGTCAGTTTTCACTCCTAGACCCCTCATTTTAAGATATATTGTGGATATCTTCACATAATACATGTGAGTATCGCCACATAATAAATGAGGGAAGTGTTGAGTAGAGTAGGTACTTTTGAGTTGATATCTTATATCCTGCTCTGTTTGGATTAAAACCCTATTCTTTTAAAATATTTTCTTCTTAAAGTCATACTTTATTCGTAATTTAAATTATAACTTCAAATAAAGCCATCGATTGTTGATGTTTTTCAACTCTTACAGCACTAGAAGGTCAGAGTTCAGCAGGGCTCTACCCCAGTTTGTGTGATCTGTGACCAGATTACCTTTTCTACTTAACTCTCTTCAGCCCAAAATAGAACTGAAATCATCTGTGCTCCCTTTACCCCCAGGGACAGTGTAAAGATTAAGAACATATTCTCATTGCTCTGCGTCATGAATTGAATTTGTGGCCCCCAATCTCTCTCCCCCCCGGAAATTCACATGTTTAGACCCTAACCTCTAATGTGATGTTATTAGGAGATGCCACCTTTGGGAAGTGATTAGGTGATGAGAATAGGACCCTCAATAATAGGGTTAGTGTGCTTATAAAAGAGATACCCGGAAGCTTTTTCCTCCCTTTCACCATGTGAGGAAGACACAGTATAAAGACTGCTGTCTATGAACCAGGAAGAAGTGGGTTCTCCCCTGGCACTGAAACTGATGGCACTTTGAATTTGACTTTCCAGCTTCTGAAATGTTTGTTGTTTATAAGCCACTAAGTCTATGGTATTTTTATTATAGCAGCTTGGGCTAAGACACTGTGCTTTCATTTTCTGGGGGAAAAAAGAGGGTATGCAGGAGGACTTCATATTGTTGCTATCAATGAACTAGGTCTGAAGGAACATAGGTTTTAATTTTTTTCTTTTTGTTAAATTCACATGGTAGTCTAACACTAGAAGCTTATACTTTCTTCACAGTATAGTAATATGAAGTGTTTTTACAAGATCTTTAACTAAAAATTATAATGGCATAATTTATTTGAAAGAAGCTTAATTTAATTATTGAAATGTTGGGACAGAAATGTCTCTACCCAATGGTTGTTATGACATGTGTGGATTTAAAATGCATTTCTTTTCTTTATTTTATTTTTTTGTCAATCCTCACCTGCAGATATTTTTTTCCATTGATTTTTTAGAGAGAGTGAAAGGGAAGGAGGGAGGAGGAGGAGGAGGAGGAGGAGGAGGAGAGAGAGAGAGAGAGAGAGAGAGAGAGAGAAACATTGATGTGAGACACATTGATTGATTGCCTTCTGCATGTGCCCTGATGGGACTGGGGTTCGAATCTGTAACCCAGGTACATGCCCTTGACCTGGAATCAAATCCGTGACCCTCTGGTTTGTGGGCACAGTTCTAACCATAGAACAACACCCATCAGGGCTAAAATGCATTTCTTAACTACTCAACCTCACTGGGTCTTTCTTCTTAGCTAGCATTGGGCTTTTTTTTTTTTTTTCTAAACAACCAAAACCTGATGTGTGAGAAGCATAATTTCCACATTTGAGTCTTAATTAGTTTGGTAGGAGAATGCAGCCTTTTTTTCCAATATCAAACACTTCAGCTCTTTCTAGCATTAGAGATTCTGTTTTCTCTTTGAAAGAGATGGAGCAATATGGGGAATTGCCTAGATAGTTTGGCTCCCACTAAGTAGGAGAGATAGGTAGGTGCCTTCCAGGCACCCTAAGGAGGCCATGTGTGCACCAGAGGACAAACGGACCAACAGTAGCTCATGGCCATCCCCTTTCAAGGAGCTACACAAAGCAACTGCCAGACACACCCTCAAGACTCCTGAAGAGAGCTGAGGCAGGATGGCCATGAGCAGTTGCTTTGTGTAGCTCCTTGAAAGGGAAACTGAGCTGTAATGAACACAGCCAGAGACCTGGTATTAGAAAGCAACTGGAGTTGAAAAGTCTATGTGAGGAAGATGAAAAGAGTAGAATGCGTTGTTGGGCAAAGGTGTTCCGAGTTCCTGAGATGGAGAGGCACTGAGAGAGCTCTGAGTATCCCCTCAATCCTGTATTTTGAAGGCTGGGGTGTTTTGTGAATTGTCTGTGGGGCAGTGACTGGGGACAGTGGTGCCCACTCCATTTCCTGGGAAAAAGATCATCCACCCAGTTTGTTGCCAGACCAGCAGCTTCTTGTTGCTTCTGAAAGTCTGTGTGACTTGCTGCCTTGGGCAGAAATAATGACAACCTGCCTTCAAATGGAAACTGCTCGACTTGTGATAAAAATATCTCGATTACTCATGTTGATAGTGGCATGGAGGAACACAGCTAGATAAAATTTACAAGTAATTCAGAAACCTCATTAAGCCCATTTTTCCTCTTCTAAGAAGTAACAAAATTAATTGCTCTTTCTGTACCTGCCCACCCAGAAATTGGTGATTCAAGAAATGAAATGACAAAAAGGCAGGTAATTCAGAGGGAGAAGAACTGCCTAGCATAATATATGGACTGTTGTCTAAATTTCTCATTGGAGTGGATTTGTGTGTCAGTTAAATGCTTTGTTGTGGGCCCAATCCCCAGTGGGGGGCATGCAGGAGGCGGCCAATCGAATTTCTCTCTTATCGACGTTTCTCTCTCTCCCTACCTCTCCTTTCCTCTCTCTCTAAAAATCAATCAATAAAAAAAATTTAAAAATGCCTTTTCTTGGTGTTTCAAGTTTAATGAGACAGCTGCAAAATTCACTAAAGTCAGCTTCTAGAACATTGTCTAGAAAATGTCTAAAAATTATGTTTCATGATGGATTTTTTTCAATTGTGGTAAATATACTTATAAAATATACCATTTTAACCATTTTTAAGTGTTTAGTTTAGTGGTATTAGTACATTTACATTGTTGTGCCACCATCATCACTATTCTCTGGAACTTTTTCATTATCTCAAACTCAGGACCCATTGAGCAGTAACTCTCCATTCTCCACT